ATGCACCCCTCTGCAGACTCAGCCCGGTGGGAGTGGACCCACTTCGGGGTCCCCATGGCCACCCTGCTCAGGGCAGCTCATCCTGCGAGCTCCCCACCAGCGCCTCCCGAGCAGCCTCGTGCGCCATGGGGGAGTCTTCAGCCAGGCAGCAGCCCTGTCGTCACTGTGATGTTGACACTCCCCCTGAGCATCGATACTGCAATCATGACTTAGCCGAAGGGACATTATCTGCTTGTGGAAATTTTGCCAAGTGCTTTTTCTTCTCAACCTCAACAGAAAATCCAGTCGGGCTGCAGACCATGTGAGGTGATAATCAACTGCCTTCAAGAGGGAAAGCCGCGGAGACGTGGCGACTCGTGCAGAGAGCAGACGGGGACAGCCGCCCCGGCCAGCCTCTGGAGGGCCGCCCTCTGCTCCCAGGGATCTCTCTGGTTCAGAGAGAGCTAAAAACTGAGGGGTGCCTGGTCATAAGATCCAAACAGTCACACTTCTGCAGTCAAGGAGGGTGCCTCTCATCTCATTCTTTTGAAATTTTCCAGTGGGAACTGACTCAAATGGCTCTATTAGGAGACTTCAAATCACAATTTTTGGAAAGGAAAATGCAACACGATGGAGAGAACCCTCAAATGTGGAGCCCCCTTGTGGTACCTATGAAGGTTTGCCTTGTGTTTTGATCTCTTCCCACAGGGGACCACTGTCTTCACTGGTCAACTCCTCACTTTGGGCAGGAAGGCGTGACGCTGGTGCTGGGGATGATGGGCTGGGTGGCGGAGAGGCGCTATTCATTCCTGCAGCCACAAGCAACTGATGACCAGGCAACGGACCCACATTAATCGGGGCGTGGGCACGGCCGCCGCGATCTCCTCTGGGCCTTCTTTGTTCTGAGTCTTCTCCGACATCCACAGCGTTTGAACGTTTTATGCTGTTGAAACAAAATGACTGCCTGGGAGACAAAGCCTGTGATCCAGAGGACAGAATCTGAGCTCCAAGTGCAAGGGGGAGAAACAGCCTACCAACCTTTCCCTCTGGGGGCAAACAAGACATCCCTCAGATCCGAGCATGCAGAGCCAGAAGTCAGCAGGATATCCCTTGTTAATGTGGAAGATGAACACAATTATGCTGAGTAGACACATTTCCCCCTGAAAATGTGCAGTAATTAATTTTTAAAGCTTCTGTAGAGAAGGCAGCTTTCCCATTCTTTTCTGTTGTTATACCATGGTTTCCTGTGAGCACATTTCTGATCCCATCCCCTTTTCTCTCTCTGCAATAACTAATAATTTTGTCTGATTCTTTAGAATATACCTTCGCATTTCTTCACCTAAACTTTTGTTTGTAACTACGGGGCCTGCCTGAGCAGAGCTGGAAATTAAAGATCAGAGACTATCTTTGCAAAATGATGGAGCCATGATGTGAATGCTTGACTGATTCTCAAGTGCCTGACAAACAATTAGTAAAGAGGAGAGGTTCTGCTTACTCAGTATTTCTTGGCAAAGTAAAATACGTTCCATCTCCTGAACCTGTGACAGTCATTTGGAAACCCAAATGTGGAACAACCTGACTGGCCTCAAGAGGTGTCAGGATGCCACGTTAAACTGTGATTATAATGAGCTTCACGCACAACTCAGGGTAACTCCGGGGCATTCCCTGATCAAGATGTGAGCATCACGGTTTGTCTATCCTGTGTATGTGACAGCATCGTGAGAGCGCTGTCATCCATGCTAATCACCATTTGCTCTGGGTCTGGCACCAGGCAGACAGCAAGGGCAGGGCCAGGATAACTGAGGTCCACGTGGGGCTTAGTGAGGGCTGTATCCCTCACTCGGAGCGTCAAGCTGAAAGAGAATTGATAACAAGTCAGGGTGCAGACAGCAGTCTCTAAACACAGAAATGCAAGCACGTAAGAGCAGTGTTTTTGCCAGTGGGAAAATGCCAGATGTCAGCCATGGGTTTGACTGAACTTTATGTTTTTAGAAAGTATCCCCACTGAAGGAACATAAAACCTGTGTCATGTTAATCCACTCTGAGTTTAAATTTTTTAATGGTTCCCAGTACATTCAGCCATGCAGAATTTGCGAGGTTAGTTTCCAGCCTTTAGGATATGGTTGACCAGTGTCTCTGGAACCTGTGTACCCTGGGATGGCTCTTCTGGGCTGACCTTTGTTAAATTCCCACTTGCCAAAATCTCAGTGTTAGGAAAACAGTTCAACAACAGTTCAGAGAGGGACTGTCTAATGCTGGGGCTCCATGACACAGCACATTTTCCATTTAAAAAAATATAAACCCAGTTTTATTACATTTTTCCTTTCTTTTTTATTGAAATAGAATTGATTTACAATGTGGTTTCAATTTTTGTTGTACAGCAAAGTGATTCAGTTTTATGTGTGTGTGTGTGTGTGTATATACATTCTTTTAAACATTCTTTTCCATTATGCTTTATCACGGGATATTAATCACAGCTCCTCATGCCTCACAGTAAGACCTTGTTATTTATCCATTCTATGTATAGCACTTTGCTTCTGCTAACCCCAAACTCCCAATTTTGAGCTAGTCATTTTGAAGTTGAGAATACTGAAAAGCATAATGAAGAAATGGCTGGTCCATGGTCCCAGAACAAACCTGAACAGTCTGAATGGAATGGAGAAGGGATTTCTGGTGATGTGCCTTGTGTGGGAGCTTGAGTTCAGGGTGGAAGCCCATCTATGAATCCAAGTGTCTCTGGCCTGTGGCCCCACATTTCACTTCCACAAGAGGTCAGGGCAGGGTGGGCAGAGGCGCAGTTAGGGCATTTTCTGGCTGTCATCCTCAATTCTATGCTGAAACACTTCCAAGGGAAGAGTTCTCACCCTGACGCTGAGCTGTAAGCTGCCGTGGACTGAGATAAGCCCGTTTGGAAGGAGGACAGTTATCCCCCTACATGGCAAAGGGGAGAAGAGAAACTATTGGCTCAGGCTGGAAAAAAAAGCCTCAATAAATGGGAAGCTTGCTGTGTTTGGCATTGCTTCAAAGCACTTTCAGATTCTATTTTAATAAGGTGACATTGAAAATAACCGCAAATTTCTCCTTAAACTCAGAAAGTCAAAAATCTCTTCGGATATTCTCTACCATAAAAATGTGCCCAAATGGTAGGTGAAGAGGTTCTAAACGATAATCTGGATGGCTCTCGAGTTGCCCTGTGACTTTCGGCCTCAAATCGGCGCAGTGACCATGGTATTCTTCCGCCAAGCGTGGAGGAAGAGCAGAGCGAGGCTCTGGCGCCGCAGGTCCCTTTGACTTCTGTCAGCGAGGGACGAGATGGCAGAGGAGGCTGCTGCCCGAAGTTTAGACAGGGTGCAAAAGTGGGCTGCAGCAAAAAGAAAACCCACGTGGCAGCGGGTGGATCTGAGCCAGGCCTCCTTCATTAACAAGGGTACTAGGCAAGCAGCTGCTAGTGCCGGCACTGTCCAAGGTGCTGAGAGTACAACCTGGAAGGAAAGACAATATAAACCCCTGTCTTCCAGGAGGGTCCCGAATGGATGCAACCAGAAGACTGGCCCAGGTCACAGACCCATTCACCAACCTATACAACTCTTGTGAAATAATAAATACATAACATGTTAAGACAAAAGTAATCCAACAACAACAATGTCTGTTTCCTCCTAGAACTTGCAGCTGACATCTCCATGCATAAAAGCAGACAAGAACAGAAAATGCACAAAGGCCATGATACAGTCAATGGTAAGTGCTATGGGGAAAACCAAGCAGGTGTGGAGGAGAGAGACAAGGGCACATGTGTGCAGGGCCAGGGGGTGGCTCCAGGTGAGTGGGTGCCTGGCAACACAGAGGACCAGCGAGGAGGCCTTGCAGAAGGGGGCTTGGAGGGGGGCAGGGAGGGACGGGGAGCATGGGAGGCCCCTGACCAAGCAGTGCTGTGGCCTGGCTGTGGCCAATGGGAAGACCCTCTAGTGAGAGTGAAAGAAGGAGCGGAAGGAAGCTGGGGGGTGCAGGAAGGAGGTCAGAGCTGCAGGAGGAGCCAGTGGGTTGGACCCGGCCGTCCCCGCAGGGGACACAGAGACTGTGAGTGAAAGTCGCTCAGTCGTGTCTGACTCTGTGACCGCATGGACTATACAGTCCATGGAATTCTCCAGGCCGGAATACTGGAGTGGACAGCCTTTCCCTTCTCCAGGGGATCGTCCCAACCCAGGGATGGAAGCCAGGTCTCCCGCATTGCAAGCGGATTCTTTACCAGCTGAGCCACCAGGAAGGCCCTGCAGGAGAGAGCGCGCTAAGGATGCGGACAGCGGCTGGAGGGCAGGAGTGGAGCCCAGTGCCCCTGGGGCTGCAGCCCGCATTTCCAAGGGCGGGGAGAATGAGACAGCGGGTGTAGGGTGGTTCCTGGTCGGTGGTCAGGCCACGTGAGGGCTGGGTCCTGGATCCGAAGCAAGAGCATCCCGCCGGGCGTGGTGTCCCCTCAGCCACACTCAGGAACAGGGGCAGCAAGCGGTGGACCTGGGTTGGGGTGAATCCAGGGGGCAGTTTGGCCCAAAAGAGGGCAGATGCGCGAGGGCACGTGGGAGGAGTGACTAGCGGTGACGCGCGAGACGGCAGCTTGGCCGGCGCAGGGAGGATGTGGATGGAGGGGAAGAGACGCTGCAGTATTCATGTGGGCCGGGGCGGGGGTATCGGAAGGGTGGGCTGAAAGGAGCCAGTGGTGGCGCTCAGCGACAGCAAGGCCAAATGTGAGAGGGCGGAAGGGCAGCCACAGTGGGACAGGAGAGTTGTTCTGGGGACGGGAAGCCCAGGAAGTCCATGCGCTGGGCGGCTCACTTAGGTGGAAGCTGAAGTGACCACAGACTCAGATGGGGTCACGGGAGAGAGCAGCAGTGAGCCATGCATGACGTTTGTCAAGTGCTGAAGGTGGGTGTGGGGCTGCCAGACTAGACCTTGGCACGGCTGCTCTGGAGGGCCGACACGCTGACTGCCGGTCCTCAGAGCTCAGGCGCCTTTGGGCTCCTGTGGATAAGGGAAGGGCTGGTGCTCCCCAGCCGAGGGTGAACCCGGAGGCCTTGGCCGGCGGGCTGTGGATGCTGCGTGGACCAACTCCAGGGGCTGCATCAGAAGCAGTCGCTGTGCAGAGACCACCTTCCACACACCCACCACCTGCGGCCTCGCTGACCCCCAGCAGAGGTGGGAGCGTGGTGGGCAGAAGCCCCAGCTATGGGGTGATGTGGGGGAGGGGGAGGAGAGGGTTCCACCATCGGATCCCATTACACTGCTGGGGGTAGAATCCACAGAGGATCAATGCACCTTACGTGTCCTCACCTGACTGGCAGGTCGGCTGGCACTATTGATTATGTGTTTAAGTAAAGAAACCGATGCTAAGAGAATTTACATTACCCACAGGGCGCCAGCTCAGCGGGGCTGGGACACAGACCTGGGTCTTCTCTGTTGCCTCTCGGGTTCTTTCCGTGACTCTGGTGGGAAACACCCTGAGAGTGGCCATGAGTCCAGGACTGGGTCTGGCCGACCTGGGTGAAGGCAGGCGGGTCAGGAGGAGACAGCGGCCCACCCCAGTCCCGGGACTGGCTCTGGCTGTGCTCTGGGCGTAAGCCCTTGGGGCCAGTCGCACCTGCCACCTGGCTCCACCCGCCACCTATTGTGAGGGCCGCGCTCTGTGGGCCCCAGTGTCCCTCTCTCTAGCCCATCCTCTTCCTCTGCCAGCGTCTCCTCTCTGGCTGCAGGGCCACCCCAGAGGGAATCACTTCTGCCGTCTGCCTAACAGGGGTCTGGCGGACGCCCTCTGTCTGCCTCTGAGAACAGCTGGCCGTCTCTGGGCTGAGCCTGGGGCTCCAGATGCACAGCCCTGGGCGGTCCCTCCTGCTCCACATGCATCTGGATGGGTCCTGTCACTGCAGGGAGACCTCCAGCCTGTTTCTAACTCCGGAAAGAAGAGAACTCAGCTCTCACAATGGGCCCTAAACCCTCGAGGAGGGCGAGTGTCTGTCAGGAGTGCCCCTGGCCGGGCGTTCCTTCGCTGACTCTAAGTAAGCAGATCATCTTCCATAGGATGTGTGGGCCTCGTCCAGTCAGGTGCAGGCCTTAGAGCAAAGGCTGAGGCTTTGCTGAGAAGGAATCTGCATCAAGCCTGCAGCACCAGCTCCTGCCTGAGTCTCTAGTGCATAAGAGATTTAGGTCTTCCTGGTCCCACGACACCTTAATTCCCTAAACAATCCGTCTATAGCACCTCTTTCTATAATATATCATCCTTAACTACATCCCCTATATCTATATTTCTCTCTGTGCCTATATCACTCTCTGCATCTACACACACAGACACAGACACGCACACACAAACACACACACACAGACACACACACAGACACACACACACAGACACGCACACACAGACACACACACATAAACACACACACAGAGACACACACAGACACATACAAATACACACAGACACACACACAGACACACACACAGATACACACAAACACACACAGACACACACACATGCACACAGACACACACAGAGACACACACAGAGACATACAAACACACACACACAAACACGCACATAGAAACACACACAAACACACACAGACACAGACAAACACACACAGACACACACACACATGCACACAGACACACACACAGACACACACAGAGAGACATACAAACACACACAGACACACACACAGACACACACACAGACACACACACAGAGACACACACACAGAGACATACAAACACACACAGACACACACAAACACACACACAGACACACACACACATGCACACAGACACACACAAACACACATGCACACACACATGCACACAGACACACACAGACACACACATGCACACACACACATGCACACAGACCCACACACACAGACACACACACAGAGACATACAAACACACAGACACACAGACACAGACACACACAGACACACACACATGCACACAGACACACACAAATACACACAGACACACACAGGCACACACATGCACACAGACACACACAGACACACACAGACACACACAAACACACACAGGCACACAGACACACACAAGACACACACACAGACACACACATGCACACACACACAGACACACACACACATGCACACAGACACACACATACAGACGCACACACAGACACACACATGCACACACACACACAGACACACACACACATGCACACAGACACACACAAATACACACAGACACACACAGGCACACACATGCACACAGACACACACAGACACACACACAGACACACACACAGACACACACACACAGACACACACATGCACACACACACAGACACACACAGATGCACACACAGACACACACAGGCACACACATGCACACAGACACACACAGACACACACACATACATACGCACACACAGACACACACATGCACACACACACACAGACACACACACATGCACACAGACACACACAGACAGACGCACACACAGACACACACAGGCACACACATGCACACAGACACACACAGACACACACACATACAGACGCACACACAGACACACACAGACACACACAGAGACACACACACACACTCAATTCTGGTGGTTTCTCAGAACCCCTGCCAGATACAATTAGTCACAACAAGACATATAAATGCACATGCACTTTTTATTACTTCGCCTGGCAAATATGAGAGGGACCTTAACCTTTCCCCTCAGACAAGTGCCCAGATGTCAGACAAAGTGGATCTAACGGGGGCCGTGGGCAAAGGGAACTTGAGACATCTGTCACCTGCTTCAGAAAGGACCACATCACCCTGAGTTGCTTCCCCATGTGGGAGAATTTTCTGTGAAATTAACAACTCTGAAAGTGAAATTATAAATAGATTTTTTGAATGTTCTTGAGTCCAAGTCACTCACCAGTTAATTTATTCCCCAGAAGCTGGCATGTCATATCAGAAATTGAAGACTCAGTATCTGATGCACTGACACACCCCACGTCTGACAAATGAGCCAAGAAAGAAAGAAAAGATGAAGCAACAACGGCGATCATGTAATTCTTATGTTATTTGTCACAGGAGCTTATTTGGTTTGCTCTCTCAAATTCAGGAGCAGATCAACACCAAGGAGAGTGATCCAGTTTAAAATTAAGGTGATGGTCAGAAGTGAAGATGAGCCAGGGGCGGCTGTCTTGAGCCCCAGATCAGCCAAGGTGCTTATTTCAGGGCCCGCGGGTGAGGTCAGGGATGGAGCCTTAGGAGAGGCAGGACTGAGCGTCTTCAGGGCCAGGCTGGCGCCGGGGACAAGGCGGCCGTGACTGAGTGGGCCCTGTCTGTGCCGCTGGGCTGGAGGAAGCCGCCCCGGCGATGCCAGCTGCTGACAGTCGCCTGCCAAGGAAGGGCGCCCTCTCCTCTGAAGTGCACTCTGCTGACTCCCCCGGGGGCTCCTCTGGCCCACCCTGCTCTGAGGCACCATCTAACCTCCCTTCACAGCGTCCTGAGCCTGCACCGCACTCCCCGCGGACTCCGGCTCCTCACGGCCAGCAGCCTGCAGGGTCCAACGCCAGACGGGCTGCCAGGCCCAAGGAGGGGAGGGCTCCCCTGATGGAACAGGAAATTGGTCTCGCACTAGACCATCCCCATCTGATGTCAAGCTTCCTGTCTGTTCAGCAAGGTTATTTCTTTAGAAAGCTGGTTTCCACGAGGCTGGATTAACCCTCCTGCTGTGTGTGCAGCGTGACATTTAGGGATGGCTTTTGAGGGCCTTGGTGAACTAAACTCACAGGGCACCAAGGTGAGCCACATGCCAGCCCAGAACTGCCGTCCTGACTTCATGCAGTTTCAGTGGCATGTTTGGAGACTGTAGGGTGTAGGGTAAAAATCACAGACTCTGAGCCTGGTTTTCAACCCCATTTCTGTTCCTTCCTCGCTCTGTGACCTTATACAGCTTTCCTGACCTCTCTGGGCCGCAAGCTCCTGGCAGATCTGCTGTGAGGATAGGAGTCATGTCTGCAAAGATGTCAGAACACTGTCTGGCACCTTGAGCACCGTGTCTGCTATCGTTTGAGATCCCACGGCCCCACTTCCAATCAGCCTTGTTCTTCAGAGGACTCTCTGAAGTATCTGGAAACTGCGGTGAAAATGGGCCTGTGGCTCAGGTTTCAGGGGAGTGCAGAGTCGCATCTCGGGCTGCGGAGGGACGGGCCGGTCCTCCTGAAAAGGCCACCGGGCTGCATTGGGTCTGCTTTCAATCACATGCCTACGGCCCAGGAAAGGACCCACACTGATGAAAACAACAGAAAGAAATTCTGGTGTTTCAGGTGCTTTCCTCCTCAGACGATGAGGACAGGATGGTGCGGGAGAGGAGGGGAGGGTGTGGAGACAATCCACACACCCTGAGCTCTCAGCCACAGCGTCTGTCTCCGGTACGCGCGGGGCCCACCACCGATAACTCAGCCACAGCGTCTGTCTCTGGTATGTGCGGGGCCCACCGCCGAAAACTCAGTGCTGAGCCGTAAGGAGCCCTCGGCGGTTCTCATCAGGGCCAGAAAGAAAGGAGGATTTGGGCGAGGGAGGGCCTCAGGGCTGTCAGGCAGGTCCCTGGCCAGCTGGGACAGAGACAGGGCTGGTGGCAAGTCACCGGCTCCTCCCAAGGCCATCAGCCTCACCAGAACCGACACTGGTCCTGGCGGGGCTGCTACTCATCCAGGGCCTGGAGGCTTCATCCTGCCCGCGCCCCGTGGAGGCCTGGGAGACAGAGGGGAAGCCCTGCCCCCCATGACTCCCAGGGTTTCCCGCCCCCACCTGCTCCTGGGCGATGCGGGGGGCCCTAGGGCAGCCCCTGGCCAGGAGAGAGGCAGCCCTCCCAGGCCCCCGGTCCTGCCCCACTGGCTCCTCCACTCCTGGGAGCAGCAGTCTCTTCTGAGACTACGGGATTTCAGCAAGGGATTATTTCCTCCCAACAAGGACAACCGCAGTTTGGCTCTTCAGGATTTATGGACAATAAAAAAGCCTGCCCCATAAAGAAACGCTCCTGGCAGCCACATGATGTGTCCAGCAGCGGAATGCAGAGCAGAAGGAACGTCTCCGGGAGGGCGTTCTGTTATCCCTCTACCTTTTAACCTCTGGGTGTATTGTTTGCGTTGATGGTGAGGAATGCAAATGTACCATGATTCAGCAGGTCGCAGGAGCTGGAGGACAATCAGAGGGCTCTGCAGAGGAATGGGCTTGACAAAACAATAGCCCAGAGTCCTCGGATAAATATCACAGCAAACAGCTAACCTCTGGAGTGCAATTGATCCCTGGGTAATAAAGACTGAGCACAAAGGTTTCCCTCAAAGGTGACCTGCATAACTCATCCTTAAAGTTTGACTGAATTCCCCTCTGCAAACCACCACCAGATGAGGGGCCCTGCCCGATGCCCCTGTATTTGCACGTGTCTGACCCAAGGTGAGAGGATGCCGAGAGTTAAAGCAAGTCAAACCTCTCCTGGCCGCTACAGGCTGAGTCCCCACGGCTCTGTTGTCCTGAGTGCATTCTTCCTTCCCCTCCAGTTTGGTGGGAGGGGAGTGGGATGTTTTGAAAAGGAAATAAGAACCCAGAGCACTTCTGCTCAGGTGGTAACATGCATGGCAGCTGCCCAGGGAGCTCGGGTAGCCTGGGACAGGAACCAGGAACCTGCAGTCTAATGAATGACCAGGTTGGTGAATCAGACGTGAAAATGCTGCCTTGGAGGAGGCAGGTGGCAGGGGAGCTTGCTCTTCCAGGAGCCCAAGCTCTGCCTCCTAGAGAAGACCGAAGCCAAGGGGCCTGGCGTTCAAGCGCTGGAAGGACCAGAGGGGCAGCTGAAAGCTGAAGATGATTTGATGAGGGCAGCTCCTCAGGGCTGACCAGAAACTTGCGTCCATCAAGTTGGTGATACCATCCAACCACCTCATCCCCTTCTTCTGCCCTCAATCTTTCCCAGCATCAGGGTCTTTTCCAGTGAGTTGGTTCTTCACATCAGGTGGCCAAAGAATTGAAGTTTCAGCTTTAACATCAGACCTTCCAATGAATATTTAGGACTGACTGCCTTTAGGATGAATTGGTTGGATCTCCTTGCAGCCCAAGGGACTCTCAAGAATCTTCTCCAACGCCACAGTTCAGAAGCATCAGTTCCTCAGCGCTCAGCTTTCTTTGTGGTCCAGCTCTCACGTCCATACATGACCGCTGGGAAAACGGGGTCACTGGTAATAATTCCTTAGAGTGAGTGCAGCTCTGGCCAGCGGGTGGGGAGTGTGGTGTTCTGCCACCAACAGAGCCCATGTGGGGAAGAACGCCAGGGTGACAGCAGGTGCCACCCTGAGCAGGGGCCTCGTGGATGAGGTCCAGCTGCAGCTGGACGGGGAGCTCAGACCCCACCCTAGGTCCCTCCAGAGGCTTCGCTTGCTCTCGGAGAAGGAGCTGCAGCCAGGGCGGGCGGCAGTCGGGTGATGCGGTCTGGGCAGGTCAGAGGCCTAGGCCCCGTGTCCAGCTGCTGCTTGCTTTTCTTGGAATCACTTGACGACTTGGCAAGAGGGGCCTGACGGTGCACGGGAGCTCTGCCTGGGAAGTTTACGCTGCCTTCTCATCCCTGGGACAAAGCTGGCCTCAGAGGACATCTGAACATCATTTTCCTGAGACCTGGCGGGTCTCTGCCAGGGTCCCTGGTAGAATGGCTCCACCCAGGGTGGTCAGAGCAGCCAGCCAGGACCGACGTGCCTCCTCCTGACTGTCCCATCACCCGAGGGTGCTGCTGAGGGGCTCTCTGTTGGTGACCATGCCCTGACCAGAGGCACTCAGTCCCAAGTCTGTGTCAGAGGGCTGCTCAGGTGGGGAGTTGCAGGTGAGCCTCTATGGAGGTGCACGCAGCAGAGGCTTCCTAAGCCATCCGTTACCTGTTCCTCTTTGTTTCGGCAGCTTGGGGTCGTGGGCATCGCGGGGCTCCCAGTCTGCAGTGGGCTGATCTCTTGAAGACCCCTGGGCTTGCTTTCCTGCTGAGAAATCCTGGAGGCTTGTGGACAAGAGCTGCAGGAAGACAGGGTTTGCTATGAACTTCGTCTACCTTGATGCAAAACATGTGATCATGTGAGAAAGCCAGCCAGCCCATCAGGCTAACACCTGCACTAGTAATTCCTCCGAGTTATTACTGCACCTGTGCTTTTCAGATTCTTCAATGAAAGCACTTTCATTTTTAGACCCTTGTGCATTCTGACCAGCTAAAGTGATCAGAAAATTTTCTATCATGTAATATCTGCTTTATACATGGTAACTGATTTTAAGTAAAAGAAAAGAAAGTTATTTTTTTTTCCAGTTGCATCATGAACATCTGCCTGCTTGGTTGTCTTTACTGTCTGTGACTCCTGAATGGAGAACGAGTCAGCTGGAATCTGGGCTGCAGGCCTTGGAAAGGGAAGAAGGAAGAAGGTGAAAAAGGGGGTAAAGGGGGGAAAAGAAGGGGAAGGAAAAAAAGGGAAAAAGGAAGGAAGAGGAAGGAAGGAGGGAGAGAGAGGGGGAGGAGGAGGGAGGTGGGGGGGAGGGAGGGGAAAGCGGAGGAAGGCAGGAGAGGGAGGAGGAGGAAGGGAAGAGAAGAGGCAGAGAGACGTGCAGAGGTTGCCGTCTGCGGTCACGCCCACCATCGGTGGGTTCTTCAAAGCCGCCTGGTAGATCTCCACACTCTAAGACTCTAACCTCTGTGACACTGGCTCAGTGGAGTTTAATGAAGGTCTGTTGAACAAACAAGTTGTGTTGTTCAGAAAATACTTAACAGGTTTTTCTCCACTTAGCTCTGTGCCAGCTGCTGGCTGTGATGTGAACACAACTGCCTTGTCTGATTGACCTGGTACCCTAGTCGTCCACCCCAGGAGCCCTTCAATACAAGAAGACCCCAGCTTTGCAGGCAGAGCCTCTGTCATCCCAGACCAAAGCCTGGTGGGGCCCTGGTGATGTTCTGATGTTCCTTCAGAATTGCCTGGTTTAAGTAGAACAAGCACTCATGGTGAGGCTGATGCTCAGACACATGTGTCTTCCCTCTGAGCGGGTATTTTTCTTTTTTCTTTTTATTTATTTTTATTAGTTGGAGGCTAATTACTTTACAATATTGTAGTGGTTTTTGCCATACATTGACATGAATCAGCCATGGACTTACATGTGTTCCCCATCCCGATCCCCCCTCCCACCTCCCTCCCCATCCGATCCCTCTGGGTCTTCCCAGTGCACCAGCCCTGAGCACGTGTCTCATGCATCCAGCCTGGGCTGGTGATCCGTTTCACCCTTGATAGTATACTTGTTTCAATGCTGTTCTCTCAGATCATCCCACCCTCGCCTTCTCCCACAGAGTCCAAAAGTCTGTTCTGTACATCTGTGTCTCTTTTTCTGTTTTGCATATAGGGTTATCATTACCATCTTTTAAAGTTCCATATATATGCTTTAGTATACTGTATTGGTCTTTATCTCTCTGGCTTACTTCTGTATAACGGGCTCCAGTCTCATCCATCTCATTAGAACTGATTCAAATGAATTCTTTTTAATGGCTGAGTAATATTCCATAGTGTATATGTACCACAGCTTTCTTATCCATTCGTCTGCTGATGGGCATCTAGGTTGCTTCCATGTCCTGGCTATTATAAACAGTGCTGCGATGAACATTGGGGTGGACGTGTCTCTTTCAGATCTGGTTTCCTTGGTGTGTATGCCCAGGAGTGGGATTGCTGGGTCATATGGCAGTTCTATTTCATTTTTTCAACTGTCTTGTCTGATTGACCTGGTACCCGAGTCATCCACCCCAGGATCCCTTCAATACAAGATGACCCCAGCTTTGCAGGCAGAGCCTCTGCCATCCCAGACCAAAGCCTGGTGGGGCCCTAGTGATGTTCTGATGTTCCTTCAAAATTGCCTGGTTTAAGTAGAACAAGCACTCATGGTGAGGCTGATGCTCACACACATGTGTCTTCCCTCTGAGTGGGTATTTTTCCTTGGATCCTCTCTGGTCCCCATGCTATTGAGCAACAGTAACATAGAGGAAATACAAAGACAATCCCAAATCCAGGAAACATGTTAATTCCCTGTGACTTGAAGATGCTGTGATTTTGAAAGTTAGCAAACATGTGATTGATGTTCTATTTGCTTTCTGCCAAATATATCTGTATATGTATGTGTCTGTACACACACACACACACACACACACAATATGTGTCATTCACAATTATCCTGAAAAGAAGGACTTATCTGCCAGCTTGGACATGGAGTGAAAGAGCCACAGACCTTCCTACAGAACTTAAGACCACAAAGCCAGACCACAGGAGCCAGAGTGCAAGGTGAGCAGCTGTTGGATCCGGAACTTCTCTTCACCATGACAGAAGCTGTGTCGCTGGGGACACTGGGGTTTTCAAAGGATGGACCCCTGGGCTCTTATCCCCAGAGCCCTGCTGGGGGAGAGGGGCCCTCACCAGGCAAGTGAGGGTCCACCTTTGCCATCTCACTGGTGGCCCTGCTTTTCAGGATCCTTGTGAGAAGCAGAGATTGTGTGTGTGTGTGTGTGTGTGCGCGCGCGCGTGCGTGCACGTGTACAGACACACACATAGAGAGAGAGAATAGCAATCACCTGTTAGGTGGCTTTCAAGCTTGCAGTATCCTCAAGGGAAGCCAAGGGGCAGGGTCCATCCTCGGATCCCTGCCCCGCGGCAGAGGGGCAGTCTCAGGCCAGCAGCGGGCACCCCAGGCGTGACTTCGCTGTTTGACAAGCCCCGGCCGGTCCCACAGCTCCGTCTCCCGACCCCCATCCCCACGGTCCCCGGTCCCACAGCTCCGTCTCCCGACCCCCATCCCCACGCTCCCCGGTCCCACAGCTCCGTCTCCCGACCCCCATCCCCACGCTCCCCGGTCCCACAGCTCCGTCTCCCGACCCCCATCCCCACGCTCCCCGGTCCCACAGCTCCGTCTCCCGACCCCCATCCCCACGCTCCCCTGGGGTCTCCGGCTCCCTCAGGGCTGATGACTGAAGTGTGGTGCCGGGGCTGGGCCGGCCGCGGAGGGAAAGCGCAGTCACTCTGGCCCGCAGGCGCCGTCAGCGTCCCAGGACCCTGTGTGCGGTGGCCCCGCTGAGGCCGGGGGCCAAGCCCGCGCGTGCTGGGGAGGCCGCGGTCGGGATGGAGCGCCGCCTGTCGGCCAGAAGTGGGTCCCGCCGTGCCGGGTCTCCGGCGCCCTCCCGCGGTGGCGCCTCCCGGGCTGACCCCAGACCCCAGGCCCAGAGCGGATGCGCGTGGTCACAGACTGCCAGCCGCCGTGCCGCCAGCACAGCCCGGAGAGCTGCGTTTCCCGGCCTCCCTTCCCCTCTGCCTTGTCTGCATTCCCGCTGCTGCTGGAGGTGCTGGAGGGTGAGGCGTGGGTGGGAAGCAGGCCCCTCGAGGTCTTTGACACCATCACAGACCCACTGTGCCCCCCAGATTCCAGACTCGGTGTCCGATCAGTCGGCCCACCCGTCATTCAGAGGTTAAACACGCATGTACCGCTTTGCGCCGCTGAGTACGCGGGATCTGTGGCACGCGGGGGGCCTGTGGCCGGAGGTAACTGGTACCCCTGCACTCCGCGACGACAGCTGAAATCCGCGCCCTGGGTGCCTCTCCCAAGGCAGCCGGGGTTGACCTAGGCCAGAGGAGCGGTGCTGGGAGACGCCTGCTTCAGGGGGCGCCCGAGGCGTCTCCCCGCCTCGGACAGGGCTGAGCGAGCACTGCTTGCTCCAGGAGGAGGCAGGGGCTGCCTGCGTAGCCGTCTGTTCCAGGTTTCCTGGCGGTGACTAGAGAACTGCTCTCTCCCTTTTTGTGGTTTGAAGGATCACACCAAGTACTTTGTGGGGAAAGAACAGCCAAAGGCGGGACGTGCTTCCTCTCATGAAGCGAGAGTGGGAGCAAACTGTACTAGCAGGGAAGGAATGAATCACAGTCATGAACACAGTGAAGGCAGAGCCCGGTTTTTCTTTCTGAAGTGGAGTGTCTAATCTCACCATAAATGCAGCTGCATGATTTGACAAGCTTTTCCAGCATGATGATATAATAATCAATACTAAAAAGATAAAATGATGCATTTGGACAGTGATGAACCAAAGCAGGACAGGATTGGTGGAATTAAATTAAACAAAAATCTGAAGCAGAAGCAGACACTAACTTCCCATTATTCGAGCTATAGAAAAATTCATTTCTGTAAACATTTTTAAAAAAGATTTCATCCTATTTTTTCAGGATCTCTATTACTCTTGAAAATGAGACAAGTCAGCAATTTAAAACAGCTTTCTTTTAACTATTCAGTGCCAAAGGAAAACATAAAACTGACTCTATTTTAATGAGGCAGATTTACATAAACGATTGACCTTGTGTGAAATCTCCCATTATGTGGAGCATGCGCACCCCATGTCATCCAATGTTCACTCTTCCTTTCATTCAGTTGACAGGCAAGAGGACTTCTCAGAATTAAGAAAAATATCACAGTAATCTTGCTTTTTCATAATCGACATAGAGGGACGCAGAGAAAGTGCAAATGAACATTTCTCATGGACACGGGGGCACAAGGCTGGAATCCCATAGAGACAGCACCCCAGGGCATCCGGCTCCTTCAGGAGGTGCATCAGGGGAAGAGAGGGGAGCCCCACTGAACTTGAGATGAAGTTTCGGGGTGTCTGAATTCTCAGGGAGAACCTGGGCCCTGCTTCCTTGCAAGCACGCTCTTAGGCAGGCCTGTGAACGGAGCTCCGTGGGCCCCGGGCTGCAGCGCCTGCCCCGGACATGGCGTCTGCAGGGCCAGGACGGCTGGAGGGATGGTGAGAGTCTCACTGTGGCCGCTCCTCCACCCCCGAGCCCACCCAAGTGCACTTGGCTGAGGCTGCTGATGGAGCCCTGAGGTCTTCTGGCGGAACCTGACAATAGCCAGGGTCAGCCGTCCAGTGCCCCTTGGATCTGAGACTCTTTGGGTCCCGATTTTTGCCTCCATCCTTGCCTAAGGCCAGCCTTTCCGTTTTGTCTCAAATCTGCCACAGGAGAACAGTGGCCAGCATCCTCAGCATCTCTCTAGATGAAGAGCCAGGTATTCCTGCCCCTGCCCTGGACTTGTGAGCACTGATCGGGAGCCGCGGTCCCACCAGGCAAGAGGCTCAGACTCACCCATTCATTTCTTCATTCCTTCATCCAGGCAGCATCTCCTGAGGACCTGCTGTGTGAAGGCAGATGAGATAGGACTTCTGTCCTCAAGCATAAGAGAGCATATGCAGCTGTGTAATCAAGACACGCAATGAGCTGTGGAAGGAGTGAGCATGGGGTGAGAAACGCCACGGAGGTGATAGAATGCCTCATGGGTGAGGATGTCTGACTTAGGCCTTGAAGCACAAGGAGGGGATAAAAACAGTGCGGCAGCTTTCTCAGGCCGAGTTCACATGAGGAGAAGACATTCGTTCTATGGAAAAATGACCAAGGGCCAGTAATTCACAGCAGGAGATATACATATGGACACTAGTGAATAAACATCTTTTAAAAAATGATTCAGCTTCAGCAGGAATCCAATATATGCAAATTAAAACTACAAAAAGAGATGTCATGTTGCCAGCCAGAGTCTAAGGATTTCAAAATGACAACATTCCTCGAGAGCCTGAGATGAACTGACCACACTCCTACACCATGAGTTCGAAACACGTGTTATGAATTTTAACAGAATGTGTACCCTTGGCATTTATAATCTGAAGATAATGACTTATGCACACGGGCAGTCATGTGGTATGGTACACATCGGAAAAATTGGGAAGCCCTAAATATTCAACCACAGGAATATGGAACACTCATAACATGGATTATTAGGAGGCTATTTAAAATCATGTTTGTAAGAAATGTTTAGTGACATGGAAAAATAATGATGGTATAAATAAAACTCATGTTACAAAATTACATAATGAATGTTATCATAGCCCCATGAAGTATGTATATCAGGGTGTATGCTTTCAGATGCAAGTAACAGTATGTGACTTAGAGTGTCTTACACAGGAAGTTTATTATCATCCATAATAAGACATGTGGACGTAGATGGCTCCAGGATTAGTGAGCTGCACTTTTAAGTCCTTGACACTCCCATCTTTCCAACCTGTCAATCCTACTGTCTTGTTCCCATCCTCAGGTTGGTCCCTCCTGCCGCCCACAAGATGACTGCAAGTAACACAAATTCACAAACTCACAGAGCTGTATCAAGGGAGGCCGAAACAGCAGTCATCTCTCTCTCTCCCTTCCTCTTTCTCTCTCTCTCAAATATTTTACATATCTGTAAAATATGAAATGCCTATTTTCTTTTTTTAACTCTGCTCTTTTAACCAAGTCCCCATAAGACCAGCCCTTACAGCCTTACATTTTATTGACCGTGGTTCAAAGTGTCCATGCTGAAACTTATTTCTGGCAATGGGAATGGACAAAACAAATCTAACATTCCGTTTCTGATGTGGAGAGGAGTCATGTTTCCTGAGCATGTTACCGCCTAATATCTGAACAGGGTCAAGGCTTTTGCCAGCAAAGACCGTGGGCGGAGGAGCGAGGGGGCTGGTAGACAGCCAGCAACTTCCCACAATACACTTGGAGTAAAGTAAGTAATAATAACCCCAATTTAGCAGCAATTATCTCTAGGTTATTGTGGGATTAGAGTTGAATTTCATTTTCTTCTTTATGTGTCTGAATGCTTACAAATACTTTCCATCAGCATGTATTTATTTTAAAGACAGAGAACAAGTAAAAGATAATTTTAAAAGAAGTATTTGTTTGAAGAAGTTTGAGTGCAATGTGAGATTTGGGTTGATTGTCTGTAACGAGTAATAGAACACATATATTCACTGAAAATGGGTATTTCAGCAGCTGTGAGTGGATAAGGTGTATATCTGTTACACATCATAAATACTTAAGACAAAACTTACCTTGTCTTACTCCATAAGGATGTCCATAGAATGGCAGAATGACAAGAGATGGTGAAGGCCGTGGATGTCAAGACTAGTTGCTTAAAAACACGAGCACAGAGAGCCAGGATTTAGAGAAAAATTTTTTTTGAAAAAAGGCAAGATTATTTAAGTAAAACTTACATAACAAGTGGTGGTCTAAGATTTTTTAAATTGACTATATATAATGATTAGGAATACTATTAGATAATTGTAAATATAAATGCATTTAAATAAAACTAGAATGTGGTAAAGAAAAGCATAAATTACTATGATCGCTATTCTACTTCCATCCATGACAGATTAGCTTATACGGCCTCACCTTCACTCCATTAACTAGAAAACTTAACAAAACATATAAAATAAGATCTTGGAGCCTGTCACTAGCCGGCAGCCTGAGACTGCAGCCCCTGAGAGACAGTGAGCCGAGCAGTGAGCCCCGTGCTCGCCTCCCCTTCCCCCTGGACTTGTTGCCCGACCATGGCGCAGAGTGGAAACCCACGTGGTGCGTGGAGACTTTGCTCAGCTGAGGACGCAGATCAGACTTCAGCACGGCTGCCGTGGCCGGGTTCATGGAGCAGCCCACCACACAGGAAGGAGTTGTATGGAGGCTCCGGAAATTTCCATGGGACCCCAGCCGCATATGTGACTGATAGCGAGAGCTACAGACACAATGCAGAGCTCTGCAAAATTAGAGAAAGGAAAACTGCCGCATGGCTGTGAAATGAACAATTCCCACAGCTCACACACAGCGGGACGATAGTTGACTGGCCAATCAAAGGAGGGTGGCCTTATTTAGCTCCAGATCATTTATCAGAGACACAGGCGAAAACAACAGTGTATGGTGGAGTTCATTACATGTAATGGAGTAAAATGAATGAAGACAACAGAAAGGATAAAAGCGAAGATCGAAATATACCAATCTAGGTTTCTTACTTAAACGTGACATTATAGATTAGTGAAGACTGGTTGTCATATTTAATTATGCATATTTGCTACAGTTCTTACTGAAAAACAATCAAGGAGGTTTTGCCAGTGGGAGAGAAAAAATAAATACCAAAATTTCTCAGTCAATCCTAAAGAATAGTGGGAAAAAAAAGCAAAATGGAAAAACATTAAAGAGGAACAGATAGAACAAATAGAAAATAAATAGCAAAATGGTTGCCTTAAACCTAACTATATAAATAAGGACAGTAAATGTAAATGGTCTAAATTAAAATGAGAAAGCAGAGATCATGAGACCAGAAACAGATGCAACACAATTATATGATGTCTTCATGTAATGTACTTTAAATGTAAAAAGGAAAAAACATTAAAAAATAGAAAGATGATAAATTCTGCTACATTAATATTATAGATAATGAGTCATTAAGTAGTTTCATAAGTCACAAAGTGGCAATGTAGTTAGTAGACAAAATTTTCAGAAAGAGGGTATATTGTAGGAGAAAAATAACAAATTTTACAATGTTAAATGGATTAATTCATCAAGAATACATACTAGTTCTAAATGTGCATGCACCCAATAATAAAACCCCAAAGAATAAACATTAAGAATTTAGTGGAGAAATAGATAAATCAATAGTTATTTTTAGATACCTCTTAGCTCCTCTCTAAGTTATCTGAAAACAAGTAGGCATAAAATCAGTAAGGACGTAGAAGTCTTGAACAATTCTTTCAGTCAAATAATTCTTGTATTAATTGAACACTTCACCCAGAATTTCTTTTCAAGTATACATGAAATATCAAGATTAAATATGGGGTCAAAACAAATCAAAATGCATTTGAAAGGATTGAAATCACACAAGTTATCTTCTCTGAGTAAACTAGAATTAAATTAGAAATAAATAATCTGGGAAATATTTGATAAATTGATAAATTGAAAATGTTCAGTATAAAAAACATGACTTAAAATGTGTGGGTTGTTGGAAGAGCTGATACAGAGATTTAAATGCTTATATCAGAGAAGAATTTTTTTTAATTAATAAAAAACTACATTAAGAAGCTGAGAAAAATAAGGATATTAATAACCTAAAGTATGTAGAAGAAAGGGTTTAATAAAAGAAAAAAATCAATGAAATTTTTAAAATGGACAGAAAAGACAAAAATAAGTAGAAAGTGATAGAGTATGAATAAAATTGATGACTCTACTTAGACTTATTTTTTAAAACCAGAAAAATACAAGCTATTGATATCAGGAGTGAAAGCAGTGATTTCACCTTAGATCCTATAGCTATTAATAGGATAATAAGTGGTTAGTAGGAACAACTGTATTTCAATAAACATGAAAATATAAAAGAAATGGCAAATTCCTTTAAAAGCAATATTGTACCAAGAATGATACAAATATCTTTTACCTAGTAATGTAACTGAATTTATGTTTGAAATCTACTCACAGAGGGAACTGCAAACCAGATGGCATTAATGGTGAATTTTCTCATGTTTAGGAAAGAGGTAATGCCAATATTACATCAGCTCCCTCAGAAAATAAGGCAGGGGACACTTCCCAAGTCATTTATGAAAAAAAATTACAAGAAAAGGAAGCTACAAACCAATATTCCTCATGAATATAGATGTAAAAATCCTTAGCCAAATATTAGCAATTCAAATCAAGCAACATATAAAAGAATAATATATTATTATCAAGTGGTGATTATTCTCAGAATGCAAGAGAGATTTTACATTAAAAATCAATCAATTTAATTCACCATATTATAGGAATAATAAAAACGACCTCAATATATGTGAAAAATGCATTTGACAGAACTCAGCATTCATCCCAGGGGAACAAGAAATAAATTCACAACAAACCGTGAATAGAAGGGAATTTCCTCACCTGCTCGAGGGCGTCTCAAATAAACTGT